AATTAATGCTTTTACAGTATTCACAGAATATTAAATTAGTGACACTAAATACTGTGAAAATTAATGCTTTTACAGTATTCACAGAATTAAATTAGTGACACTAATACTGTGAAAATTAATGCTTTTACAGTATTCACAGAATATTAAATTAGTGACACTAAATACTGTGAAAATTAATGCTTTTATAGTATTCACATAATATTAAATTAGTGACACTAAATACTGTGAAAATTAATGCTTTTACAGTATTCACAGAATATTAAATTAGTGACACTAAATACTGTGAAAATTAATGCTTTTACAGTATTCACAGAATTAAATTAGTGACACTAAATACTGTGAAAATTAATGCTTTTACAGTATTCACAGAATATTAAATTAGTGACACTAAATACTGTGAAAATTAATGCTTTTACAGTATTCACAGAATTAAAAGAATGCAATGTCACTAGAAATCAAAACAACACAATGCTAATGTAAACAATATTTGAAACTAAAGTCAACTAAAGAGGGCGCCATTCAAGTAACTGGTGACTGTAAATATTCAACATATACGAACGAGCTAAAAGGGTATAGTAACAGATAGGAAATATACCCTGGTTAACGCAGTTTTTAAAATGTGATTATTTTTCAAGTCAAACATTTTTTCGTAATTCTTTGACCTATAAAAGGCATTGATGAGTACACATTCCTTACACACTAAACCTAAACTACAACTCTCTCTTTAACCAGACAGACACGACATGTCCGAGTACAAAATACATTTTCTGGTTACACAAAATTTGAACATAAATTAAAACTTTGGCACTTTCAGATCAACAATAATAATTACAACACTGAATGCGTTTAATCTTTTGAGAGCCATATATATATACATGTATATATATATATATTCAGTCCAAATATTTTCACATTTCACATTTTGGACCATACAGACAGATTAAGATATTGCTTTTAGTTTTTGATCAAAATGTCATGTCTAGGCTATACAAAATCACTTTGTAGATGGTGTCAAAAGATGACTGTGGTGCTCAAAGAGTCAAATAATTAATTTGTTTTTCACAAAAATGTATATATTCACCATAATAATGACACAACGCAGCTGATTGACATTCCTTATAAGAAAATTTATGTATATTTATCATATGTGACAGTCAAGTTTAGTGATAATTACCTGTTCTGTATCCGTATCTTCAATGATGACAGTTTCTGTATTTCCCATTGGCAGAGTTGGAGCTACAATCCCAGTACTGGAATGTGTTGTAATTGTACCAGCACTTCCTACCTTAGACCCATCCACAGTTTCCAAGTCTGTTGTAAATTTGGGTGGGTTGCTGGCAGGTCCCATGGCAAGGTTATATGAATTGTTCCTAGCCAAGTTTTTTCCTTCCAAGTTTTTTAACCTCCGTAATGAAGGATGTTGTAACGACTCTGGCACCTGATCGTATTCAAATTCAAGTTCTTTCGGTGGATTGTACAATACTGTATTGTCCGAGTTTTCACTAGTTTCCGATGCTGATGCTGATGCTGCTGAAATGTGCGATGATGGCGTGTGTCGATTAAGACTATCTTCTGATCGGCTAACTGAGAGTCCAATATCAATTGCTTGGTCATTTGATCCATGCAGTGAATCCTGGGAATGCATTTTAAATCCAATTGTACTTGGACTAAGAGGACTTGTTGGTAATGATGCATCGGATCGTCGGGCTATTAATAGTTTTATTGTTGACCTTGGTGATTTTTCACTTGACATTGATTTGCGGAGCATTTCCATAGCATCACTGTTTGCAAGACCAAGCAAACTTTCATCGTTGATGTACAATAACTGATCATTGGGACGTAACCTTCCATCCTGTCAACCAGAAACATAATTAGTAATATATAAAAATACACTAAAGGAATGGCAAATGAAATCATCAACTGCATCTCAAAATATGCATCCATATATTTTGTTTCCAAGATGTTTTAAACAATTACCGTATTTGCACGTGAATGACAAAGATTCAAATGATTGAGTATACAATTATTGGTGTATAAACATTTCTATTAGATATGTGCGTCTAATGCAACAAATACTACATATGCATTCAGATTTAAGTCAACAAAAAATAATCAATTAATTTTTTTGTAAAAAAATAACTAAAAGTACCAAAAAACATATACAGACATACAAGATATTATGACAAACTTAATTTACCTTTGAAGCTGCTCCTCCATGAATAACCGATTTGATAAAGATTCCAAGATCCTTGGATCCTGGCACTTTTTCACCCTCTTTTCCATTGCCTGTTGTTTTGCCTTTCACACTCAAACCCAATCCAGCAGATCCAGTCTCATTCAATGGAATGTCAAAGGTCAAGATTTCCTTTGTTTTAGTTGGTGTTATTTCCTCTTGGTGTTCAATTGGCTAGATAATAAGAAGAATCATCACATAACAATTATGTTACAGTTAATGTTAAAGTTAGGTTAGGTTAAGTTAAGTTAGTCATTTTAAGTTCAAATTAGTTAGATTAGTTCAACTGATAGGAATAAATTAAATCCATTAATTGTTATTAAATTAGTAACAGTCATGATAGTGAGGAAAAGTTAAATCAGTTTGTGTCATGAGTATTTAAATATCAATGCTTGTTTAAAAACTATAACATAAGTCAATAGGCAGGTTAACATTTCTTTGCATAGAATAATCTAAGTGCAATAAAAATGATTTTCTTTTTTATTTGTGTTTTTGAATTGTCTACATGTTAGATTATACATCAACATTTATTGTGAGCTGTGGGGCAATTGCATAGCGCCCTCTAGTGTCTATGTGAAGCATTATCAGAATGGAAGTAGATTTTATCACCAGTGTTCTAGTGTCTATGAATTTATAGAACAGATTCATTATTCAATATGTCCTTATTTGGTACATAAAAGTCCTTATTTGGTATGTCAGAATCTTTATTTGGTATGTCAATGTCCTTATTTGGTATATCCTTAATAATTTTATGATCTTGAAATTATGAAAACCTTTGTACAATGTGTACCACTAGATTCAAACAATAAGTTTTTGTCACAAGCATCTACAATTGTCACAAGCATCTACAATTGTCACATTTTCTGTTTTTTCTCTGCTGAGTAATTTCTTAATTTCAATTTGATCTAAATTATACACAACAAATGTATTACCAACATTCAGGACAAATAATTCACTAAATTTCATATTATGATTATTTATTTTAAGTAGGAACAGATTTTCAGAGTTATATCTGAAAATGCATTTAATAATAACATTGCACCACTATCTGTAACAGTTTTTGAGATTTGACAGTTATGCTTATTGATGAGGTCATATGACCATATATGGTCATCTGATATGTTAGTTAGTTAGTTACATTCCTAATCACAAAGCATCTCAATGTGGGCTATTTATATTTGAAGAGTGTGTGTAACTGAAATACATCCAGTAAGAAACATATTTCTGAATTGGGTTGTCAGCATTGATTGCAACCTTTTCAGTGAAAAACGCTATACATGTACATTCACTTGTGGCATGACAAATGTGTTTTGAAATGATGTATATTACTGAATGCACCTAGAAATAAATAAATAAGACAATAGACAGGTGAGTACATTTAAAGGTCAAGGAAGTCATTCCATGCAAGTAGCCAATCCCAGAAAACATGCAAATTAACACCTGGTATCCACCTAATCACTAACCATCAGAAACGTGAAGAATCCACCAATGGAGGCAGGATATTGTAAAAGTGAGATGTTTGATTAGGAAGTCCAAAGGTATATATATAAATATAGTGAGATAATTATCCAAGAGAAACAAGAAAAAAAGTAATACTTTGGGGAGAATTAAGAGGGATACACGATACACAAGAAGACAAATATTAGGTGGAAACATCATTAACCTGTGGTACTTCTGGGACATCTCTTACCAATTGCCGTGGTAACTTATTCCCAACTGCTTCTTGGCGTGATATGACAAGTACAACATCACTTCCTAGTTTTGTACTGCGTAGTATTGACACAGCGTCTGCCTGTGATTTACCTGTCATTTCGTTCCCATTCACCTGTCCGACAAAACACATTTATTTTACTACATTTGGTCTAATGAGTTATTATTATAAGACTAACTTGAAATACTGAATATAAATAGAATAAGATGTTTGAAATATGGGTCTTAATAGTTTTAAACTCTGACCTCAAGAAGTCTATCTCCAGATTTAAGTCTTCCATCATTAATAGCGGCTCCTTTTGGCAGTATGTTTTTTATATAAATTGGGTTTTTTCCTCCGGTTGGGTTATCTCGTGTCGTAATGCTGAAGCCAAGACCTTGTGGACCTATAAGACATCAGATATACACTAAAATTGGTGACTAATTTGTTTTACTTGTTCACACACTCACTCACTCCTTCACTCAATATCTATTCAACTAATTTTTTTTTATTATATTATTTATTATTGCTATTTACTGTTATTGATTCAACCTATAAGATAGTATTTACACCTTGCCATGTATTTCACTCACTCACTCACTCACTCACTCACTCGCTCGCTCGCTCGCTCGCTCACTCACTCACTCACTCACTCACTCATTCACTCACTCACTCACTCATATTGTTCACTCACTCACCCACTCACTCACTCACTCACATTGTTCACTCACTCACTCACTCACATTGTTCACTCACTCACCCACTCATTCACTCACATTGTTCACTAACACTCACTCATTCAGTATAACAATATGCGTTACCTTTAGTAAGTTGAATGTGTAGCTTTTTACCAATTTTCCGCACATTAGTCCTGTCTTTGATCGGTGTGCTTAATACTGTATTTGGTGACCTAAGAGGAACAGCTGGAGGTGCTTTTTTACTGGATGGTGTCCCAGCATCCTTTGCAACATCTGGAAGCTCAAGATGCGGGTATTTTGGCGTTGGTTTTTCTGACATTACATCAACATTCCAATTGTGGTGTACATTATCTTCTTCCGATATCTGGCGTGAGGGGTGTTTGTCTCTCTCTATGCGAAGTCTTACATACGGAAAAGTCGTCATGGCTTTCCGGAAAATGTCTTGTGCTCTAACATGAAGGGCAATTAAGAAACAATACTCATCAAGGGAAGTGAAGATTTGTAACTTAAACAGCACTAACTATTCTATAATTTGCATAATGATGTAAAAGGTTCTTCTTGATATGTCTGTAGATTTCAAGCCGTATAAACAATATGTCATCATCGGGAAAACCGCTATTATACTTCATATTGTACTGAATATTGATCACATGACCATGGTGCATATCATTCACAACAGTATGCAGAGAAAACCAAATTGTGTGACAGTATTATTTTTATCAGACAGGAAAACAACACAATTACTCGGGTGGTGCAATGACAGCAATTTATAGCAACGATTATTGGAAATTTATTGCTAGGAAAAAAAAAAATATTGCTAAGAAGGGTATATATCTGCAGATTTTGAAAACCATTCACCTCACCAGAATGGTTTGATTTAATTCATAAGCATAGTTGAATAAAATAAAGATCCATGAATTTAACTCGCCTACGACATCACTCATAGAAATTCAACATCAGCTCCTGCACAAATTGTAGCAAATTGATTATTCAGTTGAGCATTCATAGAATTGGAGTGAAAGCTGACTATACTTGGGAGGGGAGGGGGTATCTGAATTGTGGTTCACGAGGGCATTCTCAGTATTTAAATAGGCCAGCAGAAAATAATATAAACCAAATAATCTTTATTTGAAATTCTTCATCTTTACAATTAATCAGTTGTGAAAGCTTAGAATATAATTACCTTTCAAACGTAACATCTGATAATGTTAAATTATTAATTTCTATAATTCGATCGTTAACCAATATTCTCCCATCAGTCGATGCTTTACTACCCTCCTCTACCCCACGTACTAACATCCCAAGTTCCCTAAAATAAAAATCATGAATTGAAATGTTATATGTACTTCTTGAACAGTATTCACCAGAGTAGTGTAGTTGTAGTGTTCAGATAGTGTTCAATTGTAATTTTCAGTGTTTGTTTGTTACCTTATAAATTAACAATAGTTGTCACAAAGTGTTTAATTATAGGTGTTTACAATGTTTAATTGTGGTGTTTACATTGATCAATTGCAATGTTTACAGTGTTCAATTGTAATGTTTACAGAGTTCAATTGCAGTGTTTACATGTTCAATTGTAGTGTTTACAGTGTTCCATTGTAGTGTTCACAGTGTTAAATTGTTGTGTTTAGTGTTCATGTGTAGTGTTTACAATGTGTAATTGTGGTGTTTACATTGATCAATTGCAATGTTTACAGAGTTCAATTGCAGTGTTTACAGTGTTCAATTGTAGTGTTTACAGAGTTCCGTTGTAGTGTTTACAGTGTTAAATTGTAGTGTTTAGTGTTCATGTGTAATGTTTACAATGTTTAATTGTGGTGTTTACATTGATCGATTGCAATGTTTACAGAGTTCAATTGCAGTGTTTACATGTTCAATTGTAGTGTTTACATGTTCAATTGTAATGTTTACATTGACAATTGTAGTGTTTACAGTGTTCAATTGTAGTGTTTACATGTTCAATTGTAATGTTTACAATGACAATTGTAGTGTTTATATAGTATTTAATTGCAATGTCTAGGTAATGTTCAATTGTTGTGTTTACATAGTAATGTTCAATTGTAGTGTTTACATAATCTTCAATAGCAGTGCGTCCTAGCTTGAGTGCATGTAAGGGAGAGTCGCCTGGTGGACACAGATTACATAGTCTTACCCATCTGAAAATTACTTGTAATTAACTACAGAATGAACTGCAAATCACAATCACTTACCTCCCATCTTTTGCATCAGTATATGGTACTACATGTAGACCTACTGGTGACCCATCATTACGAAGTTCAATAACAAATGAGTCAATATCTGAGTCTTGTGACGACCCATCAGCAGGACTCTTCTCGCCGACAGGAAGATCCCCACCCACTGGATCATGACGGTCAGTGTCCTACAAAAGAATAGTCATAGATATAACTCAATAATATTTTAATATCAGCAGAGACAAACTCTTGAATATTACAATTTCCTTATTAATCTCAGGGTCCTTTATAGAAAAATATAACATGACTTGTTAAAAACAATATATACAGCAATATATCTAAGCAAAATATTGACAGAAAAATACACAAGCCTAGATTGTCAACTTTTGGCAGCAAACATGATTAATACTACATATACTGAAAACAACATATCTGGTTACTGTGTTATTTAAGTAATGGATTTTGTCAAGTACATTACTAATATATGGTTCTCACGATCAGCCGCGCAAATGCAAACGTCTTCAAATGTTACACTAATATTTAATTTTAGCCAATTTTTGTATGTATTCCTTATATATGTCTAATAGTCGGACCAAAATTATTAATCAGAGTTATAAAAATGATTATGTTAAAGTGCTTATTATCCATAATTTCTGGTTTTATCAGTATTCAAGTGTATCCAGTCATACAATTGTGTAGTTTCCTATTTCCTGATTCAGAGTCAGACAAACAAAAACAGCAACGATGACGACAACAACAGACATTTACACATTTACACTTCATTATCATTATGAGTAAGACACAGAATCATGCCCCTGTTATTAAACCCTTTGAGCACATTTGTTTACAGTTCCTGTAATTTTCCTAATTTTAGACAAAACAGACAAAATGTGACATTGCTTCTAGTTTCTGATGAAAAAAGTTGAAATTTGATGGTGCCTGAAGTTGACTATGTTACTCAGGTACATGTACAGCAAGATCCACATTTAATAACATGTTCTATTTATTATTATAGATCTACCCTGTCACAAACACACTGAAGGAATACTTGGGGTACATTAAACCAACAATAACGTGCTGTAATTTCTGAAATCAACTGAAGAGCTATATGCTATGAAAGTTGAGACATAGTCACTTCAAGTTACTGATGCAGAACTAAAAGATGTGCCACTAGAGTCGTATCTTTTCTGCTCAATGAATATGGATGAGATGTGTAACAATAATATACCGGTAGGTGAGCATGTATTTGATTGGTTAAGCCAGTATGTTACATCATTAACGACAAGACTAATGAAAATCCATTTGTCTGGCGGTTGTATCACCTTCACCCAGTTGTAAACAGACTTCTTATTGAGGTCGTTTTTCTGACTCCAGTTACAAGTAAATTTACATAAATATTTGTTATTCATATGCTTTATTTGTTATGCAAGCTCATCTAAATAAGTAATACCTCTATTTAAATCATCAAAATAAGTAATGCCCCTATTTGAATTATTCAGAATACATTTTTTTCTATTTTAATCAATTTTTAGATTTTGATTATACGGTAAAAAGCAAAGAAATATTCAATTATTTGTAATCACAAATTGTTAACAAAAAATGGTAAATTTGTCTTGTTTTAAAAATAAAAATTTTAATGTGTGTGAAAGGTGTTTTATTCTCATTGCTGTAAATTTTCATGATTTAATAATCTTAGGACAATCAAGATAAGATGATAAAATTCAACTAATAAATTATTTGACAAATTTTCTTAGTTCATTGCCTTTTAAGCCGATTACAGAATTTTTTAGCTCTTCTTTAAAATTATCAGTGATTTCACAGAATTTTTTTTTAAAAGAAGCAATTAAGCGATTAGTACTTATTAAAAGATAAAATGATTATTGAAAGTTTTAACAGCTTTCATGATGCTAACAGATAAAACGTACTTTACCTACTCACGCAATAAACTGCAAGTCTTTCTATGGTGCTAACTCTGTCGTAATCTATTATTTGTTTTCTACTCATAAAATATCGCAAGTGACGGAAATGTTTTCTTTCTGACAACAAATAATGCACATTGTATGCCACCCAACGTTTTTGTAATCACTGATTTTCACGCTGAAAATTCAATCAGTCAAGATTTCAAGGTAATTTTTAATTCTAAAAACCTGACCTTTTTTTTTTAAATTAATTATTCAAATGTGGCTTGAATTATGGATTTTTATGGTATGCCAGCAAATAATGTACATTTCAAGAAATAGTGGACCCAATCCCTTTCACAATCAGGAATAGGTAGTGACTCACATTTGTGGCTTTCCATTTTAACTCCTTTTTTCTCTGGCAAACAATAATGCTCTTTGCGAACAATTTGTATTTATATCAATAGATATGCGATTAAAATTGGTGACGTAAAAACAATATTTTACAAATTTTAATGTGCTGAATGATTTGCACAATGGGTGTTTACTTTGTGTTTGTGTGTGTGTGTGTGTGAATGTGTTTGATGCTGCATGAGTAAACTTAAATTTTTGATAGTTTAACGTGAACATCTTGAGACCAAAAACAAATTTTTTAAACTGGGTAGACACATTTCTTTGCATTAGGTACATTTCAACAGGATGTTAAAAATTCAAAAGAATCAGCTCATCCACTATGTTTAGTTAGTCGAAGCAATTGCAAATGAAAATAGAGAAAACATCAGTTTTATAATGTTTCACGCATAACAGGGTTTGGGATACAAGACGAGGACATCTCGCTCTCTTGGTTGTTTTGAGTTAAAGGCAAAGACACTGTGATAGCTAACTTTGCTGGACTGTAAAACACGCATCAAATACATTGCTTCACAGAACACGTTAATTACATTAAAAACTGATGCTATCCAATAGGCAGTTGTCAAGTGCTGTACAAAATCTTCTATTTGTAATTGCATTGGTGCATGAACTGCATAAAGGGATATTGTGATAAAAATAATAAGCATCACATCGGCCGGGCGATTTAACGTCAAATGGAATGGGGCAACATGGCCAGTAATGATTCATCTTTTTTTATAACATGTTTGCTACTAGTGTGCAAACATGTTCGACAACTGTGATGATTGCCCAACACAACGCCAACATATTAATAATTTCCTTTGACCTTGGTCAACTTGAATCTGGTTGTCTGGCAAAAGAGGCAAACACTAATCAAAACATAGACAGGTTAAGAACGAGAAATTTCAGGAGCATGAGCAAGTCAGTCGCTGTAACTTCCAATGTTATCACATACTAATTATTCATAGAATACATTTTCAAATTTTTAAAATTTCAAGTCGTCTTAGTAATATTTTTTCACACGAATCTTTCACTATGATGGTATTTTTATCAAATGCGAATTGCTGATAATATAAGCCCTTGTCAGACATTCTGAGTTTTAAGAGCTGCCGGAAGTGCAACTGTAGATCACACTTAAAATCTTGTGTGGTGGTTTACGCATGTGCCAAACCAAACCCAGCATCTCAAATCCAGATTGTCTTAATCTGTTCTAATTAACAAACCGCTAAGTTGAATCACAAACAGTACAGCTACTGGTAAGTTGATAGATCATGAGAAATATTCATGTGTTTTTTACTCACATTTATTTACTATTTATTTATTATTTGGACAAATTGATTCAGAAAAAATAAAAAACTTTAAAATTAGTCACAAATGTAAGCTGCTACCTTTAAATGAATACAACAAAAATGAACAGTGTAATGAAAACGTCAAGCGCCATTTGATTGGCTATCACTTAGCAGCACATAGAATAGAATATGTCCACGTATTTGTTTTTAAATTAAATTAAATTGCAGATTCTCTACAAAAACAGAAATATGATAGCATATTATGTCTATCTGGTCCAAAATTAACAAAAATATCAGAAAAAAACATAAAAATAGGAAAATGTTGTACCAAAACATTGGCGGCAAAAATAGTAGAACTCAAAAAGTAATAGTTACATACATAATGATTTGCCAAATCTGAATGGGATATACTGATCAGTATTTGAAACAAGATTTGATAATGATTGATAATGATTACAACAGACATGTGTCACTTCCAAAACTTTGACATTTGACCTTGTTGTTAAGGTTAATGCAAACACTATCCCCAAGTGAAAACTAAGTACCTATCTGTTATTGTAAGCAATAATGCTAACAGCTTCGCCACAGTTTCCTCTTTCCATCACAAATTTACAAAATAGTGTTGTTTATAGTCTGCACTTCCCTTCAGAAGATGTGGACAAGAACATTTTTTTAGTAAAAATTGAAAATTAACTTAAATTTTGTCTGTTGCCTCCAATTTGCGTTCATTTCCAGAAATACTGAAGAACATAAGAACAAAAATGTAGAAAATTCGGGCATGAAATCTGGTGGTGAAATAGTTCAAATCAAAGTGATGAGTTTCTACCTGGATATCAACTTTATCTTGCGCTTCAGCCCATTTATACATTGACGGGTGATTACCAAGGATTGATTGCCGGGCAGAATCACGACCAAATCTTGAAAATACGGTGGAAATCTCCTCTTCAGTGCCATTTCTCTGTTGGTACCCATTATTATTCTCCTGGAATAGAAAGCAAGTGATTAGTATCTTCTGATCAGTACTACAGACTGTATAAACCCCAACTCCTACTCCCGGGAACCAAATTAGAGATGAACACATATGTAGAAGCAGAAGACTTATTTGAGATAAGTATCGTAATAGAGAATAAACTTTCTTATCAGGACTAGCTGCAAGAAAAACAATAAAGTACCACAAGCCATATATGCCATTACATACAAGTAAAATAGGTTTCAGTCAAAATGTCACAAACAAAATTCCATTTGAAGATGATTCGATATAGATTCTACACGAAAAAAAACATAATAATTTATTGAGGGAATAAAAGAGATTGTGAGATAACAGTGTTGCAATATTTTTTAAAGTACCGGTAGGAGAGATGTGGTTTGTCGTTTAGACAACCCGTCCAAACGTGATGAGGGTAATGACCTCATGCCTAGTTATCAGTTGTGATAACATGGTTTTTGTGTGGTACCAGCAGACCAATGAGAAAACATCGTTTTTACAATCGACAACACACATTATTATAATATAATATATATGTATAAGTGAAAACAGTCAATCTAAACCTGTAATTGGTACCAGCCTCTCTTTTAATATCAAGTTGTGTTTAATTCAATAAGTGATAGACGACATACAGATTTTATCAAGGCTTGCTGGTATGGACCATATATTGCTACATTAATATTTCCAGGCACGTATCAAAGGTACCACGACACTCAACCCATTCATAATAAAGAAATACAACATGTATTAAAGCAAACCTTGAGTTTTGCAACCCTAGATATTTTATTAGCAATGATAAGGAGAAATTAAAGCCGCAAGCGGCGTCACCGGGGCCCAAGCTGACAAGATTCTGTTTCATAATTAATGTGGTTACATGTTAGACAATCAGGTAGCTTGTATTATCAGTAACACGAGGTCGAAATGAAATTGGTACCATGTATTTACGTGGTTTGGTTATCGAAATAGGGTTTTCAGGATATATAATGAGCCATGTTCTTAATAATGAGATTACATAATCATATATAGCCATTTCTAATGTCAGTTACATCTTTCATTCAATGTCTTCATATGA